CCACACTTAGTTATTACTCTCCCAGTCCATCCCAGTGCCCACCAGTCCCCCCAAACCCCCCCCACCGGGCCAGCCCGGCCCCCCCCCCCCCCCCACCGGGATTGGGGGGCTGGAGGTGAGGGGACACATCCTGCACCCCTCCTTCCCCCCCCCTGTCTGGCTGCGAGCGCTGACTCAAATTGGGAAATCACGGCTCGGGAGGGAGGCGAGAGACGGAGCTTCCAAACGCCCCTGCAAGGAACAGGGATTTCGTGGCTGGGAGCAGAGCGGGGGATCCGAAACGCAGCTAAAGCCCCTCCAGCACGAGGAGGGAAGGGACACACGGCAGCCGAGATGACAGCTAAAAAAAACCCTTTTCTGTGCTTTCTTGGTCAAGGTCACGGCAGTCAGGGAAGCACAGCGCTGTCATGGTGTTACCCCACAGAATCCTGCAGTCTCTCCCCCCCTGCATCCCATCTCCCTATCCCTGCTCCTGCATCCTGCTCCTGGACCCCCAGCACCTCCTGCAGCCCGATTCTGCTGGTCCTGCCTTTGGGGCGGGGGGGGGGACAGAGGCTGCACTCACAGCCCCCCCACTGTGGGGGTCCCGGGGGGTCCCACCGCTGCTCGGTGCTGCCAGGAGTGCAGGACCCAGCCGGTGGCTTCGGTGGGAGCAGAGAGGGGACCCCAGCCCGGGGCTGTGGGGGGGTTGGCCCAGCGGTGGGAGAGGATTGGGGGCAAGGGGCCGTGTGCCCCGACGTGATTTTGGGGCTGGCGAGGGGACGCTGTGCCCGGGCGCGTGTCAGAGCAGGGCGGAGGCCCCGCAGGCCCCGTGCCACCCTCGCCCGGCTTGTTGGGAAGATAAACAGGCCTTTGCCCCCCCGTCGGCCGCCACGCCAGCGTGCTGGGCTGAGCGCTTCCCAATGATCCGGGCACCGGTGCCACCGGCCGCACCCCAGCGGGCTCCTGAGGGTGGCTGTGACCCATCGGTGACAAACCCCGCTCCTCCCAGGGGAGAGGACAGCCCTGCCCTGCATGGCACAACGGGCTGCCCCCACCACCAGTACTCCACCAGCACTGCCCCCACCACCAGTACTGCCCCCACCACCAGTACTGCCCCCCCCGCTCTGCCCCAAGCCCTGCCCATGGGTCTGGGGGCTCAGCGCCAACCCCAGGCAAGGAAGGTAGAGCTGGGAAAGCCCTGGGAGCTGTGGGGCAGGGCAGGGTGGGGTGCTGGCAGGCTCCCCGCCACCCCCTTTTCCCTTCCCTTCCTTCCCTTCCCACCCCCGGGGTGAACGCGGTGATTCAGCCTCTCGGTTTCAGTCCTCGCAGCCAACTTCCACGGCAGCGGGAGCGCGGCAGGGAGGAGCGGGGCGGCCACACGCTGCCCAACGCCCCGTGCCCAGGGCAGGCAAGGGCTTGTCAGGAGCAACGGCAGCCTCCAAAACGGCCTCCAAAACACCCTGACGCCGGTGGGAGCCGGGGGGGGTCACCTCACCCTGACACCCTGTCAGGGGGACACAGGGTGCACCCTCCGACCAGCACCCCAAAAGGACTGGTGTCAGGGTGATGCACCCATCCCAAAATGACCAGCAGGTGATGCACAACACACCCCAAACACCCGTGTTGGGGTGAGACATGCTGCCCCCAGCCCCCCTGCGGCCCCCCCACGCCTCCCTGCACAACAGGGGGTCACACATCCCCAAAAAGCTCCTGGTGTGGCCATGGCCCCCTCAGAGACCACCCAGCCCCACAAGAGCCTGGCTGCTCTCATGGCCCCCAAGGTTCCTCAAGCCCCCTGTGGGGTCTCCCCCACTTAATGGGGGCATCCAGCCCCCCCAACCCATCCTTCCCCCTCCCACAGGGGGGTCTCTCCCAGCCCACACACCCAGTTCCCACGGTGGCAGCACACCCCAGCCCCGGGGAGCCCCAAGGCAGAGGCAGCCTTGAAAAGACTGGTCCGGATTTTATTAAAAGTTCAGCACCAGTAAAAAAAAAAAAAAGAAAAAGCAACTGTGCAAGTCGGGAAGTATTAAATTAACGGAGCTTAAGGCTACAGAGGGCTGGTGTGGCGAAAATTCAAGGCACACTCAGGGCACGGGCGATGCAGCCTCGCCAGGCTGCAGCCACGCAGCAGCACGGGGACACCAAGAGCCCCGTTTAGCACCGGGCCACGGGCTCCAAAGGGACCCTGGGTCCTGGCAAGTGGGCTGGGAGGCTGGAGGCACCAGGGTGGGAGCCTCAGGGAGCCCTGAGGAGGGACAGGACCGGCACGTGTGCCTGACTCCAGCAGCACCCAGAGCAGGGGCAGCCCCTCGAGACAACACGGGGTTCAGTCCTGGCGCAGCCTCCCCAGGTCCTGGAAGGAGCTGGGGGACACAGCAAACCCCAGCGCTGCAGGGAAGCACCCATGACCAGGGCTCCTGGGGACATCAGGGACAGGGGTGGCCCGGGGGCAGCTCCTGGGCAGGCAGGGAGGTTTGGCAATGCTGATGCCACACCGAGAGCAATCAGGGCAGCAGATGCCCGCGCTGCAGGGAAGCACCCATGACCAGGGTTCCTGGGGACATCAGGGACAGGGGTGGCCCGGGGGCAGCTCCTGGGCAGGCAGGGAGGTTTGGCAATGCTGATGCCACACCGAGAGTAATCAGGCTGCGCTCAGGGCAGCAGATGCCTGAGGGCAAAGGCAGCCCTGCCACAGGGCACCGGCCAAGAGCAGCCCTTCCCCGTGAGCCCAAGGTTCTGCATGGCAGCTGGCAGGAGCCTGCCACACCGAGAGCAATCAGGGCAGCAGATGCCCGAGGGCAAAGGCAGCCCTGCCACAGGGCACCGGCCAAGAGCAGCCCTTCCCCGTGAGCCCAAGGTTCTGTGTGGCAGCTGGCAGGAGCCCAAAGCCTGGCATCCCCAGGATGGCATCGCAGGGCCACCGCCGTCCAGCTCTGTCGCGGCCGGGCACCCCTTCACCTGACTCACTGCAGGGTCTCTGCAAACAAGGAGGGCTCGGTGGCACCAGGGCACGGGCAGCAGCCACCCCCCCACCCCATGGCCCCAACCCTGGTGTCAAGAACCTTGGTCAGCTTTGTCCCCCTTGGTCTTGGGCTCCTGCCACCACTCTGCGAAGAATCCCTCCTCGTAGTCGCCTTCACCCTCAAACTCGCCGTCGGAGGGCAGGTCCCGCGCCTCCAGCCCCTCGTCACCATCCACCTCCATCTGCACAACGGGACGGGCAGGAGGAGGCAGCGGGGCTCAGCGGCCCCATCTGCAGCCCCTTCTCCAGGGCTGGTTGGGGGTCAGCCCCCCAGGCCCGAGGAAGGGTCATAGAATGACAGAATCACAGAATGGTTTGGGTTGGAAGGGACCTCAAAGATCATCAACTTCCAACCCCCTGCCCTGGGCAGGGACACCTCCCACCAGAGCAGGTTGCTCAAGGCCACATCCAGCCTGGCCTTGAACACCTCCAGGGATGGGGCAGCCACAGCTTCCCTGGGCAACCTGTTCCAGTGTCTCACCACCCTCATAGTAAAAAATTTCTTCCTGAGATCTAATCTGAATCTTTTTTCTTCCAATTTAAAACCGTTTCCCCTTGTCCTATCATTACCCTTCCTGGCAAAGAGTCCCTCCCCAGCTCTTCTATAGGCACCCTTCAGGTATTGAAAGGCTGCTAGAAGGTCTCCCTGGAGCCTTCTCTTCTCCAGGCTGAACAATCCCAGCTCCCTCAGCCTGTCTTCACAGCAGAGGTGCTCCATCTGATCATCTTCGTGGCCCTCCGCTGCACCTGTTCCAGCTGGTCCATGTCCTTTCTGTGTTGAGGACTCCAAAGCTGGACACAGAGCTCCAGGTGGGGTCTCACGAGTGCAGAGCAGAGGGGCAGAATCACCTCCCCAGACCTGCTGGCCACACTTCTCCTGATGCAGCCCAGGACACGGTTGGCTCTCTGGGCTGCCAGCACACACTGCCGGCTCATGGTGAGCTTCTCATCCATAAACACTCCCAAGTCCTTCTCCTCAGGGCTGCTCTCCAGCCAATCTCCACCCAACCTGCATTTGTGCCTGGGGTTGCCACGTCCCAGGTGCAGGACCCTGCACTTGGCTTGGTTGAACCTCATGCAATTTGCACGGGCCCACCTCTCCAGCCTGTCCAGGTCCCTCTGGATGGCATCCCTTCAAGCTTGGTGTCATCAGCAAACTTGCTGAGGGTGCACTCTATCCCACTGTCCATGTCTCCAACAAAGATATTAAATAGTACTGGTCCCAGTACCAACCCCTGCAGAACACCACTCGTAACTGGCCACCACCTGGACATTGAGCCGTTGACTGCCACCCTTTGGGTGCGGCCGTCCATCCAGCTCCTTATCCACCCAGTGGTCCATCCATGGAATGGGTCCTGCCCTGAATTACCCACAGCACCCACCCGCACCACTCGGCACCCCCAGAGGCACCCGCTGCACCCATGCTGGGTGCCATTGATGGTTGGGACCATCGTTTACCTCGTCGTCAGCCTGCAGGTACTGCCTGGCGAACTCCAGCATCTTCTTCTGGGTGGCCGTCCGGTTGTGGTAGCGCACGGCTTCCTGGGCACGGGGAGGCAGCGGGGGCCACATCAGTCCCTCCACCTCTGGCAGAGCCATGGAACGGGGGGTCTGGGGGGGATCCTCACCGGCCGGGGCTCGAAGTCCTCCTCCTGCAGGCGCCAGCGCTCGCGGTGGAAGCGGTAGTAGACCAGGTTCTGCTGCATCACGGCGTCGCCCGGGTCAAAGAGCATGTAGCTGGAGACGCTCCGCACCGCATCCCGCACGTCGTTCACTGTGGGGAGCAGCGCGGGGTGATGCAGGGGGGTGACACCGTGCCCAGGGACCCGCAGCACCTCGGGGTGTCCCCCCGGGGGCACAGTCCCCCCCCCCAGCTCCCCACCAGCACTCACGCTTGTAGTAGGCGAACTGCAGGTAGTGGTACATGGTGGCCACAAACTTCTCCACGAAGTAGCCGCCCACGTTAGGGGTGAGCTCGGTCTCGCAGTCCACCTTGCACTGCAGCACGCTCACAAAGTGGTCTGGGGAGAGGAGTCAGGCGCTGTGGCCCCCGGCACCCCCCACCACCAGCCCCTGGTCCCCCACCCGGTCACCTGCGATGGCGGGGTAGAAGTCCTTGAACTCCTGGAGCTCGTAGGCGCCCTCACAACCAGCCAGGCAGTCCTCGTACGCCTTGTAGTACTCGGCCAGCGCCTGCTCCATGTCAACCACACTGCTCCGGAAATCCCCGTTGTTGTACAGCTTCACCGACCGCACGAATATCGGCTGCCGGGGACCAAGAGGGTGCCACTCATCTCCCTGTCCCCCCCTGAGGCGGCTCCATCCCCACCACGGGCCCCACAGAGATGCTTTTTCGTGGTGGCAGGAGGTGGGCGACCAGGGCTCAGCGAGGGAGAGCCGCTTGCCCCGGCGTTGGGCAGCACCAGGCGCACACCGAGCCCCCAGGAGCCCCTCTCCCCCCCCAGCCCTTCCTCACCTCATAGGGCTGAGCCTCCAAATCGACCAGGTATTCATCCACGTCCACCATCGTCTTGTAATAGTTCAGGTACCTCAAGGTCATCTCGTGCGTGGGGTTCTTCTGCAGGAAGGTGTGGGCAGCGGACACCGCTTTCTCGATCTTATTTGACTGGGGAGGGAGGAAGAGTGGGGGCAGCAGGCTGCTGGAGCCCACGCTGCGCCTGGGGGGGGGCTCAGCACCCAGCCAGACCCCCAGGCTTCAGGGTAGAAGGCTGGTCCTTGGTGGGGATGAGCCTGGCACCCACAGTGCCAGCCCTGAGCCCAGTCTTCCATTGGCAGCGATGGACAGACAGGACCCGGGACCACGGACAACCCAGATAAATCCAGCCCACACACAGTGGCCATCCATTCCCAGCCCCACAAACCTCTCCCTCCCTGCCCACGGTGGGAGCGGAGACGGCTCAGCTCCTCGGGGACCCCCACATCCTGCCAGGAGTGACCCACGTGGCACGGGTTTGAGCCACTCATCTGCTCTCCTCGGGCACCACCACCACCCCCGCTGCCCCCCCCCGGCTTTGGGAGCTCTCGAGTTGCAGCTTCAGGGGAGCGGGACTGCGGGGGCTGAATGAATCCTCCACAAAGTGGGGTTTGGGCCAGAGGGAGCGAGAGGAAAAGGCATTACGGACCCGGGCCAGGCTGGCCCTGCCTCTGCCAGGTGAGCGGGGCAGCGCTAAGCGATAAAGCAGCATCCGAGCGGGACACGGGCCAGTGGCCACGCTGGGACCCACACCAGCACCCGGGCTGGGGGGGGAGGGCAGCATCCCCTGCCAGAGCAGCTCTGCCCAAAGTTGGGGTCACCCCGGGGCGATCCCTTACAAAACCTCCCTCCACAAAACCTCCCTCCACAAAACCTCCCTCCACGTCCACACCGTGAGCCCGAGTGAGTGATTGTCCCTCTCGGAGCACCCAGACACGTGTCCTGCAGCAATCACGGGGGCACCGGACCCACCAGCTCGGGCCCCTCATCTGGGGCAGCCCCCTCGTCCCCCCCACCCCCAGGCAACACTCTGCCTGACCAGGGGGACCTTGGGGGAGCAGGGCAACCCCAGGCAGGGTGGGGGGGGACACAACCACTGGGGGCCCCCTGTCCCGGGTGCACCCCTCACATCCTGCCTGATGCGTCCCAGATGATGGTGACGTGCCACGGCGCAGGGGCAGGATGGAGGAGCCGGGGGT